TCACAGGAAGAGGCAGCAGCTGAATAATAAGTGAGAGTTTAAAATGTGCTGTCAGATCAGGTCACTGAGGTAGATTTTATGGTGACTGTCAGTGACTTTGTTTGGATTGGACGAGGCAATGTTTCTTGGCAGCACCGATGTCACTCTTCCACGCTCCAGTGTCACATGGCCAGTATTGATTGTTAGATGCAGAGGCTGTTAAGGGGCTACTTGCATCTCAATCCTTTAGCAGAAGATGAATGTTGCCTCTAAAAACACAGACTTTATCCCCTCTGCATTTCTCTTCATTATTAATGAAACCAAACCAAAGTAAACATCTAATTTTAAACACACAGCAGCTCTGGTTAACAAAAACAAGCACAAAAGGTGATAGTAGGCTGCATATTTATGTAAAGGAGCATCAAGTTATTGAAGACACATATGACACTCACGGCAGAGGGTCTTTTCAGGTTAATCCATTGTGGTTTTATGGTGATGTGTGGTCTGTGCTCACATAAATATGGTCATTAGACTTATTGCTTCCTATGACAACAGCCTGATGGATGTATTGTCCAGTTTCTGTTAATAGCTGTCACTTAAATCAACAGTGATTAATCTGCTGAAAGTCAAAACCAATGAATAAATCTCAGCAAGTGTTTTAATATGCATTATAATATTGAATTCATGCAGCATATAAAATGTTAAAACCGGTGTAATAATAACTGAACGTACAGGTATGTTTGCTGACAGCGTGTTAAACAAATATGAAGCATTGCTAATCAGGATTAAACTATAATTCAGACACAATTGGCTTTGTCATGTTGCCCTTTGTTTGTTGTGGTTGAGTCAAAGTTGTACTGAATTCCCTCTGAAGCTTCATGTAAAGCCCTCCAACATTTCCTTAGTTGATGGTTTAAGATCTATTTACATGTTTAGTCAATTTCCTTTTAGAATATATGTTTGATAATGTTTTTATACCACATAGCTTATTAAGCTAGCCTACTGCACTGTGGTTGGGTGAGTGGTAAAATTAACTCTAGAGCTTTATACAGTATTTATATTATTGTGTTTTAGGACAAGAGTTTAATTTGAATGTTTATGTTAATGGTTAAGTTTCCAACTGTTATGTGATATATTTGATATTCAATTTCACACTGCTTATGTAAAAAAAAAAAGTTTAAAGCCTTTTCTGGTTCCAGACGGAGCTGCGAGAAATCTGATAAATTGCCTCAACTGATGTCATTTGAGTCAGCATTTGTTGGCTCTGAAGAGAGAAAGTAAAATAAATCTGGGGGTTAGAAAGAGGTGAGGTTACCCGACCTCTGTAGCTCTCTCTGCTCGAGGCTACCAGCTCAAGGCTACATTAGCTGCTAACAGAATAACACCCGAATCTCTGACCGATCAGCAGTCAATATGCATTGTGGGTAATGTAGGTGCCAGGTTTTGACAAAGAAAATGAACACATGGAACAAAAAATATGGTATCTCTGGTTCTGGTTTGTCAGTTTTGACCCTGTTTAGACAGTGTGATAGGAGTGCGGTGCTAAACTGGTGGTTTATAAAGGTAAATAGTTGTCGTACACAGGTTTGTATGAGAAATAAAACACATTATAACAAAAAGTGTCTACAATGCTAAACACAATGCTAATGTATAAAAGTAAAATGTTTCTTTACATCATAAATCTTATTTTTACAGCTTTCCTTTGTCAGAACTTATCCCATTGTGGACGTCAGAAAGTTCTCACAGAAGAACAAAAACAACCCTCCCGCTGTGTTTTCTTCCTTGTCATGATGTGAAAAGAAACTAAAATTAGACAGCTATGACACAAGAGTTTGTTCCTGCATCCTATTGGTTCAAAAAGTTTACATTTTACCGGATTTGATGTTGCCAAAGATAACAATACTTTTCAAGGATATTTTCTGTTCTTGCTTATGAGTTTTGTGAAAGTAACTTAGACTTAGACTAGTTTCTTATTTTAGTTTCTACTTATTGAAACCCAATGTACGACTACTGATAAAAATATAGAATTACAAGTTAGACTAGTTATACTGACATGTTTTAAGCCATATAACAGAAAACATTAAATTAAATAGACTTCAGAACTTCTCATGTTTTTGGACCCTAATGCGTCTTATACCAATAAAAATAAAGTGGTTGAAGTAAAGGCAGATTTTTTTAAAACCTTATAAACCACGATGATGTCAAAAAGTAGGACAATGAGGCCCAGGTTGAAAATAACTGGAATTATCCATTAAGTTTGGTGACTACGCCCTCTGTGCTCTAGTTTTGCTGAAAGACTTGAAAACAGTCACAGGAAGGAGTATATCAAGATGGAGTTCCTTTTTTAAACCCCAGTCTTATTGTTTCACCTCATAGCAGGAGAGAGGAGGAGACGCACTCTTTCCTCGCCTGACGCAAACAGGAGACACACAGACAGAGATGGACCTCAGGGTTCAGACTGCAAATTGTTTTTCTAATCTGTTACCGAAAACACACCGACATTGTTCAATACTGTTACTGTACACACCCATATATCATGGCTGTATATATATCTGACCTGGATCTCCTATATCCCAACCCTTATCAGAGAGATCCACCTAGATAAAGGACAAGTTATGGATTAGGTGTTGAACTCCTAATCGATAAAGAAACACATTTATTTTGATTTGAAGATGAGAACAATCAATTTCATTGTATTACAGCAGGTTGAAAGACTTTGAAACACTGTAGTTGAAAGACTTATATTAAGAAGAAATACTCAAGACATTAAAGGCTGAGTCTGGAGATATTTTATATTTTTCTTATTACTGACAAATCAATAAGACCAAAGGCAACAATAAATTGATCCTAACAAAAGCAAAGCCTGATATAGCTTATTCCTCTGTCAGTGAGCCATCATTATGATGAACACTGGCACTGTAGTTTATCTTGATTCAATCCCACGTACGCTATCCTGTAGCCATTAATACTCACTAGAACTCAATTGTCAGCTGAAAATAGTCTCCAACAAATTCACAATTTACTCCTGTTTTGCTGAGCCTTTTTTAAAAAAAATTAAAGTATTTATGTGTGATATTTTACTTGGAAGTTGTAAAGTATCAAAAGAGGAACACATTGTTTGTTCTGGTCTTTACATTGGATTTCATGACAATATCGACAACCTTATGGTTTAACCATTTTTTATTGTGTGTGTGTGTGTGTGTGTGATCATGTTTTCGGCCACGTTTGTCATCATTCCCTTTTGCTGCAGAGCCCACCTTCCTCCCCTTTATTGACTTAATATGAAAACTATTGCACCAACAACAGGGTGGTCAAAGGTGCAGCCACATCATGTTTTTTAATGAGCCAAACACCTACATTAGTAATGTCTCAGATTTGAAGAAGAATTTATAAATACAATAATACAAGTATCAGGGAGCCCATCATAGACAAAATATTTACAATCATATGTCAGTAGCTGTGATTTCCTGATGTAGCTGTGGATTGACTTTTGACCTTTAAGTGTTAAGTGATGCACAGTCTTGTACAGACTCATCGACATTGAAAGCCTGGTGCCTGGGAGAGATTCAGTATTCTAGGAAGACTTAGTTTGCTTCACTGTGCTGTTTGGTCAGGATTAGCCTCTTTTAGAGCAATTTGTAAGGTTGTGTATGTAACACTGGGATTACATCTAATCACACTCATGTATTATGACCTGAAAAAGGATAATTTCTACTTGTAAAGTCAGTCCATTTACCAACAAAAACTGCACCAAATATTAAATGGATTCATGTGTTGCTGTGTGTTGGACTCACAACAATCAGGACCTGACTCCCTTTTTATCTTCCTACTGCCGTACTGACCCCCCTCAGAGCCACACCCCATTTTTATGCCCCTGATTGTTGCTACTGAATCTGTGATACACGGAACAGAATTTTTTAGTGTAATAAATCTTCACCAGCTGACCACAATTGAAGAGTAAAAATAGTTTCCCTGACTTCACCGCCTGTGAGTCACAGTTCAATTCACAGAGGGGTTAAATGTGAGCATAAGGATGTTAAGTTGGGCTGTGCAGGAAACAGGGAGAGCAGTTTCCTGTTATGTAGAAAAGGGGGCTGTACACCAATCGGACAGTCAGATGGCGTGCAGCGAAATAAGGCTGGTTTATCAATAAAGGAGAGCTGATTTAAAATTACAAATCTTCTGTGAAACATCAGAAGTAACTGGGATCTGAGAATGTATTTATCTAAACATACATCAATCTAATCAATCTAAACTTCACAAAATGTACCAAAATACAGAAATGTGGATTTCATGAAGAGTAAAGCACCAATTATAAAAGGTTTGTAAGTTGTAACTAATGGTGTTGTTAACAGTTAATAAATAATTTACTAATGCTTTATAGATCAGTTATAAACCATAAATAAGAACAACTTTGGGGTTTCCAGATTGTGTCACACCTTTGGTTGGTGTTTATCCTTTATATTTGCTAAAAAATACAGTAATAAAATGTTGTTAATAATAATGATAATAAATGCTCATGAGCTTTCCACTTAATGAGCTATTGCAAAAATAAGTATTAATAAGACATTAATCAATGATTTTTAATCAATTAAATCTGCAGTTAGCACTTTTGACAACACTTTTCATAACCTGCCAAAATAAACAAGTTATCTACCAGTAATAAAGCAATTGGTTAGAACTGATAAACCCACCCAGCATAAAATGTGTCTTATTAACGAAGTGGCAGCATTATTTCTATTCATTTCTATCACCCAAAGTTGTTGGTTTTACTTGTAGAAGAAACGCTTTTAATACTGTTTTATTATAAATCTGCTATAATGTCTGAAATGTGTGTTTATTATGGCAGATCTTGGCACATATTAAACTACCAATCAGCCTGTACATTCAGTTGTAGGCTGATGTTAACATTTTCAGCACTTGCCAGGACCTGCTGCTGCTGTGAGAGGGATCCTGGAGGGTGGTGTGATGGTGAGCGCTGATCGAGATTTCTCTCCATTTGGTTTCCAGTCGCGTCCCGGCGCGCTGTAGGACGCACAGGCGATCAGCTGAGCAGCGTTTCCTTCTTAGAGGAAGATAGACGGAGCTGTGTTCAGTCAGGCTCACTCACTCTCTGTTTGGACAATTTAACTCGAGTTTGGCTCCTGTTATTATAAAATTGTGCGTAACGAAGCTGCTTCCGTGGACGAGATGTTGGAGATATTCGCGTCGCCAAAATGAACACAGGTGAGATCATTTATTTTAAAGGACAAGGGTGGTTTTGAACTGCTGGTCTTCAAAACCTTTATTCCAATGTGTGTGTTGGGTATTTAGTATATTTTTAGTATTTAAGCATAGAGCTGGGTGGAGAACAAATATAGATGATATAGGATATTTGACTTTTTTGTACATTCCTGTGTATAGATGGTGAATCCACCTCTTGAATCACAGGAAGTGAGTCAGGGAAATCCCTTACATTATTTTGTATTTTTCTCAAAGTAAAAGCAAACACTACTCATTTTAAGTCCTTTATTGTGTCCTTGTACTATCAAATTATTAGTTTTAGCTCTTTCTGAAAAGGCTGTGGAAGGCTGACCTACAATTGATAGGTTGCCAGATTAGTTCTTATATTATATATATTGTAAATATTGTAAACTGAAAAAAATCTCAACTGCGCGACCACATTAGAATATCCAGAATCTTTGAGCAGTTTTAGGTCACAGGGACACAATGCAAATGACCTGTAGGCTATTTTAAAGCACATAATCTTACAGTTTCCTTTTCCTGTTGTTCTTTCAGACTGCACCAAGCCTTCTGTTGCTCCAAAGCCAAGATTTGTTTGTCACGCCAGCCTGAAACTGCCCTCCCCTCTCATGTCTGCAGCCAGGGGTCCCAAACCTTCGATAGCCCCAAAGCCTAAAGTCACCCGAGAGCTTAATGGCAACCAGGGAGGGTGCTTTAATGGCGGCTTGCTAACTTCAGGTGGCGAGGTTGATGAAGAGCACGAGACAGAGAACGGTCTAAACAAAGTGGTTGCAGAGTTGTTGCCAGCAGGGAAACAATTTAACGCCTACATCCTCAAATCACCACAAAAAGATGTTAAGACTGTGGCGGCGGACGGAGAGGTGACAGAGGAGGTAAAGGAAGAGGAAGAAGACATGGTAAAGAAGATGGACGAGGACTGGAGATTAACTGACAGTGCTCTAACAGAGGAGGTGGACTCCGTTTGGGTCAGTGATGCTGGACTCACAGCTGACTCTGAGGAGGCGGTGGAGATGGTTGACACAGACACGACGGAGGACATGGACGCTGAAGGTTGTGATGCTGGCGAGGCGCTGGCTGATCCAGATGGCCTCTCAGTGGGAGACATTTCTGTTAATAGCATTGACAAGGAGGCCGGATGCTTTTCTGCTGAAAATCGACACATGAATGAGAGTGAGGAAAAGCTTCAAATCAAGCAGGATGAAACCAGTGACTGTACAGCTGATGATTTAACTGAGTCTCTCACAGACGAACTGGGTCTCCTCAGCAATGACACCGCTAAACAAGTTGTTCTAACAGATGGAGAGGAGAAAGAAGAGGAATCTGCTCTAGATTGTGGCATTACTTGTAACATCCTGAAGTTTAGGTGTGGCCATAAAATAAAGGAAAAGGGCAAAAACCTGCAGAACATTAGTTTTTCTGACTTTATTTCCAAAGACCAGAAACAGATATGTGAGAGACATGTTGCCATAGAGGACGATCCAACTCCTGAACCTTATTATGTCTCCTCAGAGGACATTATTAACAGAGAGATAATGCCAAGGAATAACCCAGCTGAGGGTCTACCAGAGAGTCCGCTCATTCCACAGAAACTTATGTCTATAAACAGCAGCGGAGTATCAACCGGGATATATGAGGAAACGCCAGAAAATGGACAATCCTCTGAAGATTACGTGGAGATTGGTAACAATGGGTACAGCAGCCACTACAGAGTTGAAAACAAGGCAAGAACATACCAGAAAAGGACGACTGTCAAAACTGAAGAACTCAAAGCTCAGACAGCGGAGGCCTTGTTGAATCATTTAGACTGCCAGCCAAGATTCAGGCTGGTATCCATCTCAGTGCCAACAGACACTGACACCTCGCTGACATCTTCTCTCTCAGAGAGCCAGCTGCTCTCCCCGAATGACTCAGATGTCTTCAGAGACGAGGAAGACCTGGAGGGTCACATAGTGCCGTTTCTGGATGACACCACCGACACGGAGCAGGACATCAGCGATGAGCATGTCTATGAGGAGCCAGGCCACAGCTCAGAGGGTGAAAATGTTTTCCCTTTTGATAAGAGAACAACAGAGAGGCGTGCCCGCTCGCTGTCACACCGCTTTAATAATAATGTGGCTGACATGGGAATGCAGTTTGTCCAGAGGCCCTACATGAGTGGATTCGGACAACCTGCATTAAGCAGCAGTCCCATGTTGAGCTCAATGCTGCACAAGACCCATGCCAAACCCCACTATTTGTCCCTGTACCCCCGCTCTCTCTCTATGGAGGGACAGGACACACCTCTGGGTGCCTACAGCTACAGGGAAGGATCCCCAAGACAGGGAGGTGCAATTTGTTCATCTGGAAGCTTCTCCCGGTGCTCACCTCTGTCGTCCAGTGGCCTGTCCACTCCGACCTCTGTAGTGGATATCCCTCCTCCGTTTGACCTGGCCTACATCACCAAGAGGCCCATCACAAAGAGTTCCCCCTCGCTTTTCATGGAAGGAGACTCGTCTGAGAAAAACAGGAAAAAGAAATCCTCCATTAAGCGTTTCCTGATGCTCAAATTTAGGCGAAAAACTGAGAGCAAGTCTGTGGTGGATGTCAACCCATCCTCCTTCAAGTCCTCAGCAGAGTCCAGCCACCACATGCCCAGCAGACTACTGGATCTAGATAGACACAGCCTAAGTAGCTCTCCACATCTCAACTCGCGCTCTGCTTTTAAACCTCATGTTTCACCTGAGCTGGCCTCAAAATTCTTGCTCTACAATGACAGCAAAAGAAAAGGGAGCTCCATGGCCTTTCTCAATCGCAGCGTTGTCCGGGTGGAGTCCTTTGAGGACCGCTCCCGTGTGCCTTTCACACCTCTTCCCCTGACTAAGCCTCGCTCCATCTCCTTTCCCAACGCAAATACCTCAGACTACGAGAATGTTCCTGCAATCAGCTCGGATTACGAGAACCTCCAGGTCCCGCAGCGGAGACCTGTAAGACAAACGCCATTCACAGGGTTCTTTGACCGTCCCAGTCGGGCTCTGTCCTCAGCCAATGACACTGACGGTTATGTGGACATGAGCAGCCTCCCTGGGTTCAGGAGTACAACTCAGACATCCGAACAGGAAACAGAAAGGTACGTAAACATGATTACAAGAGTCTACAGCTGTGCTTGAAATAAAAAAACATTCTGGTGTTGAGCAGTTATATGATATGTTATGTTCACCATGCAACATTTGCTAATTAGCTCTAAACACAAATTACAGCTGAGGCTGATGGGAATGTCATTACTGAAACCAAAGTAGTGGACAAATTGACCAATTTGACCTGATGGCGCTATAGAAAGACTCTAGATATCACTAAAGTCGTAATAGGATTTATCCTCTGGGGACTGTGAATGTCTGTACAATTTTTTATGATAATCCATCTCATAGATGTTGAGATATTTCAGTTTGGACCAAAGGAACAGACCGACTGACTTTGTGTCTGTGTGCAAGTGGGTGTTCATGTAGATTGATGCTGCTGGACATAATATTAGTGATCTTTGCCATCTTTTACACCGAGCACAAGTCTTTTTTATTACTGCTCGGCCACTGTGAGGGTTTAACAATGCCCCTGGGGAGGAGGATTTATAACTATTTATTATGTTGAGTCCCCTGATGCTGCGATCACAGCAGACATGGATGTGGGGATCAGTGGTAGAGAGGTCAGTGCAGTCGCTTCTCTCTTGCTATGCAGTGAGATGTACTAAGCTGTGATGTGTCTGTGTGTTGTTGGGGCATGTTGGGTGGTAGAGAAGGAAACGCTGGAGGTGGTAGTGGTGGTGGGGGTGGTCTCTTTAGATCTAAGTGAAAACTGGTTTCATTCACAAATCATTCTAGGTGTAAAAACAGGATCTTGTTGATGCTGTATAGGTAGAGCCTCTAGTCTCCCCGCTGTGGTGTTATTTGTTGGTATGATCAACCATGCTATGCTGACATTAACCCATCCCCCCTACATTCCTGTTGACTGTGCCCATATCATACAGGCCGCTCAGGATGATTAATAGTCAGAGCATTGTGAAGTCATTGCTCTTCTCTATCCAGTCAGAAACAACAGGCGGAGATACAATCTCAGTATCTTCTGTAGTCAGCAGTTGTTCACTGCAGTGGTTCTCTCTCATCATTGTGGTTAGAAAAACTGCACAACAAAGGCTCTAAAATAAATTTTTATTAAATGGAGAACAAACATTTGATTTGATATAAAAACTTGTTGTATATTTACTAAAGTACTCTAATGGATATAAGTATAAGTACATACACATTCTTCATTGTATCCTCTTCTTCACTCTGCTGGTGCCTCCAGCCTGTGTCTCCTACTAGTCTTTTTCGCAGATGAGCAAGTTTTAACATGCGATTTGCTTTTTTGTTTGTACACATCAATTTAAATACTATAGTATTCCAAAAGTGTGTGACTTTTTTTATAATTTTGCTTATGAAGTTTAAAATTGTATTTAAGGGATACTTTGATATATTGTAAAACACATGGCTAGACAAATGTCAGCCTGTGTTGATTTATTGGGTTCACAATGAGCTTATTGTACTGGTAGTGTTCCCACTTCAGGATCTGGCAAAGGTATTTATGTTTGTTTGACTGTGAGTGTGCTATGAAAGCATTAAATTAGATAATAGAGTGTGTAGAAAACCCAGGTGGGCTTAAATTGAATTGAATTGAATTAATTGAAGCTGAAGTTAGAATTTCACAGTTTTAGAAAACACAAAATTATCATACAAAAAATGATATGACTCCATTAAAAGTGAGCAAAGAGCTGAAATAAACAATCAATTGATTAGTAGAATATCCTGCAACAATTTTGATAACTGATTAAAGTTTTGGGCAGGTAAGACTTCAAAGTTTGAAAACATTTTGCCTCATTTAATTTTATTTAAAATCTTTTTTCATAGTCACTGTTTTTCCATCATAAAATACAGAATTGCAAAAGTTAGACACCGAGACAGAGGTATGATTATCATTTTCAGACTTTGAACTTCAATTGAACACAGTGGCCGGGACTAAAAGCAAAAGCAGCATCCGGAAGGACAGCAGGCTCAATGGTTGAGGCCGTTAGTTTTACAGTAGCCTAAAGGGATAATTTTAGCACATCACAGTTTGGGGATTCTTGGCATATTTGCCCCATTACTGCTATCATTGGAACAAATAGGCTCACCAGTGAACCTGAGGCAAAAAGAAAAATGATTATTTCTTATCTCCTCCTGTAATTTATCTCCATAGATTTTGCCTTGAGCTGTCATACAACATAGCAAGACTGTGAGAAGTGACAGAGGGAGTGATATAAAAGCCTAATATAGAAACTGTGCATGTAGTTTGTGGTTCAAACACCCTCTGGTATCTCATCCAAAGTTTGATCCTGTGAGCAGTAATGGGCCGTGCAGCTCTAATGTGTGTGATGCGGAGATCTGAAACTGCTCACTATGTTGTTCATATGTAGCTAATTTGCATCTCAGTGGGGTTAAATTCACTGGTGCTCGGAGTGAAACATGGCAGGAACATCGGCAAGGCAAGTGGTCACATAGAGGACTACTGTATCACTACTGTAACTAGTAGTGTTTTTATTTGCATAGCTTACACTCCCCACTGAGCTGCAGCCATTAGCATATTCATTTGGGCTTCCTGCAGAAGATCTCGTAGCATAAAACACCGACACGCGTCCCTGGCTGGGTACAGTTGTCGCCGCAGGCCTTTCAGGATCAGTTTATTGGTTCCTCTAGATCCGAAATGTTTCATCTATTCACATTTGCTTCTAATGCTGAATATGTTTATTATAGTGATATTTCAATCTCCGACCATAAAGGACCATAAAGATAGCTTAGATTGTTAAATGAAATTCATCTGAATTATTATCGAATGAATGAAGGTGTGAGGACATTATAAAACCCCCCAAATTTAAATTTGTGGTAAAAACCATACAGTCTGAAATGCTTCTTTACCGACCACAAGACCAGTGGTTCACTAAGGGGTCACAAGATAACTAAGATAATAAAGATTAAAGGAATAGGAAAGAAGAACATGTATCTTCTAATTATACCCTTTGTCCTGAGAAATACTCACATATTCACATCTTTATGGTTCTTAAAAGTCACAGTCATGAAAGGAGTAGTTAGGTTAGCTTAGCATAAAGACTGGAAACCAGGGGGCAACAGCTAGCCTGCTGTCCAAAGGTAACAAAAACTGCTTACCAGCACATTGTAACTAACAGAAATTTGTATCCTGTTTGTCTTAAGTTACTGGTCCCAGCCAAGCGGCAACCTCCGTGGCAAATGAAGCCAACACGTAGGGAGTAAACACTGCAGAAACAAAGTAAAAAAAGGATTTCCTAAAATGTTGAATTACTCCTTTAAAATAAAATAAAAACTCTTAGGATTAAAATCACTCTGAAGTGCACCAATCATGTCTGCACTAAGGCTGTGACTTGTGATTAGATCAGGCTGACATTTCATCATCTATTGTAATGCAAGTAACTTCATCTGGCTTTGTTTGTCAGGAGCCTGCCTTCATGTACTTTATTTATCACCATAATACCTCCTCTTTCTCACCAGTGCCTATACAGAAGCCTACAACGTGTGTTCGGTGGCTGTCGCTCCACAGACTGTTTCAGTGGGTGATGCTGGGGGAGAGACAGCGGGTGAGGATGACCAAGGACGCACCTCTGAGGAGGAAGATGGAGTTGCAGACAATTACGATAGACAGGTTAGTTCTGACAAATGTCTGATGAGTCCAAAACATGGAAATATTTATATGTGTTTTGGGATTTGAGACTCCTGTATGAAATTTAAAAATATATTAGCATTAGTTAATTAATTGATTAATATCTTTTTCCCCCTAATTTCTTCTGTCAACTATTTAAGTGATTTGTTTTGTTTTGTGCCACAATCTTGTCAGGGCACATGTCACATTTTTGCAAATGGTAGGCAGAAATAACAATATATTTGAAGAACAGAACAGAATAAAATAAAGTGAACCGTTTTTCACCTTGGGCAATTGCAAAATTGCCCTCACAAGCCAGGATTTTAATGCGGGTTAATGGGGGTTAATGGGCTACTACACGGCTGTCTTCATTATTTAGAATTTGATTGTCGCTTGGAGACACTGTGGAGAGGGAGAGGAGGCAGCTATTTTTGTTGAAATGCAGCCAAAATGCTTTAGCTCTTCCTAACCCTGGGCTTATTAAGTAAATAATATGATTGTTTACAGCCTGATGGCCGATCCAGAGCCTTTTACATCGCGAAAGAGCTGGTGGATACAGAGAGATTGTGAGTTACATGTAAACTAATTTCCCTTATCAAACATCTCCGCTCATCCATCAAAACTAATAAAGTTACCTCCACTATTCTGTTTAATTGTGTATTTATTTCTCTGTTCACAGGCATGTAAAAGCCCTCAAGCTCCTGCAGGAAGTAAGTGATTTATTTCTATTCACTTTCAATTTATGATTGGAATATAATTCTCATGTACATAGTTAGATATTCTCAGTGGGAGAGAATTACAGTAGTTTCTACATTTTGCTCTCTGAGCTCTGCAGAGTTGAAGTTTCAGAGTTGCATATTAAAGAAAAGAAGTTCATGTTCCTTTGCTCTGGTTTACATTTTATCTCTTAAATCCCCTCCGATGTAATGCACATTTTTGTCAGCTTCCTGTCTTGAGCAGTCTTGTTCTGTCAAAAAGATGCACACTGTATTTAATTTAATTCCATCTGTATAAAGGAAGTTTTATTAAATTCTATTTATGTTGTGTGTCTGCTCTTGATTTAACCAAAGTAAATTCACTGAGTACAAACTTTCCAGGAACATTTGCTCCACACTCATTGACAGTCGCTGCACACTACAGACTGATGGTCTGATCTGTTGGCAGCTCCACTAGAGAAGTTTTTGTGCCTTGCTCTAGAGCACCTCAGCAGTGATAATGAGGGAGGAACAAGTGCTGCCCTCGCACTTCCTTTCCCAGATGTATCCTCTGGTGTGGGAATGCCCCAGTGTTCTTATCAATGATTAGATTTCTTGATAAAATACCTCATGTCCTCCCTGCTATCTTGTTACACGATTGCAGAAGAAGAAGATACGGTAAAAACGTGAGGAATGCAGGATTTAGTGAATTGTACGTTTAGTGAGAGTTTAACCATCCCTTTGTACTCGCCTGTGTGCCAGGATTTTCGGGAAGCGGTGGGGGCAGCAGTCGGGGACGAGGGGGAACCTGTGTTGGATGAAGAGAGGCTTCGAGAGATTCTTAATGAGCTGCCTGATATTTACACCCTGCACCGCAGAATCCTCAACGAGCTGGAGAATCGAATCCGACACTGGTGAGAAGAGTACATCGTGTGGTGCACATAGCTTCCACAGTCGGCCCTCCTCTTCCACAGAGTGCACACGTTAATGCAGCTCAGAAAGCATTACCTGAGGACTGGTGCATGCTGCTTTTCTCTTTCATCCTCTCACCTCTGTTTCTCAGGGAGGAGAGCCAGAGGATTGCAGACATCTTCCTGTCCAGAAAAGCCGAGTTCTTGGTTTTTACCACTTACATTGGCCACTACGACCGCAGTATGAGCCTGCTGGAAGACAGCTGCCGAACTTCACCTGCCTTTGCAGCCATTGTTCACCAGTTTGAGGTGAGACCGACAGTTCTTCTCTAACTAACACAAAACAGGCTATGCAACACATAATTTCAAGCCCGTACAAACTCCCCATGCACTGCCAACAACAGTCAGGTACTGCTATGTTGCAGGACCATGTAGTAAGAAAATCTTGAATTAACCACCAAACACTTGAATGACTTTACTGCTCTAGAAGAGGAAGAGAGACAAAGGTTAATTTAGATTTTTTTTTACATAATTCACAACACTTTAAACCTTCTCAAAATTCTAACTGAAAATTAAAATGATATGCACGGTATATGCACACATACCACAAGATCATGAGAAAGGACACAAATATGATAAATATCTTCACTAACCACTGGGCCAAGTTCATACTTGTGTATATGCAGTATTATTTTATTGATTTTTTGTCATGTAATTAAGCTATTCTGGTATACAAACAATAACAAAACATACATAAAGTGTGTTTTGTCCATGTGACACGTGATACTCTCATTGGCTCTTCAGTGAAGGAAGCCTATATTCTCTTCATACTCCTCTTCCTTTTTGCATGTGTAATTCAAAGGTTTTGCTCACTGCTTGAATGTGTAAATACTAACATAACTACTGGGAACATGTGGATGTACAGTATAGTTGAGGTGGTGAAACATTGCAAAGGTTTTAAGCATTAAAGTAACTGTGAAACTTTGGTTTCAATCTCTCATATTCGATGGTTATCAAGAGCCTCAATTATCTCTGCACCTTATCTTTTGTCAGCAGAGTTCAGTGTGTGTCTCTATGTGCAATGACAAAGATGGAGCACTTGTTTTGTGGTAAGAGAGATGGCAATAGCTGAGTATGTGGTATTAGCCTGTCTCTGTGTGAGAGAGAAGAGAGCCCTTGTGACTAGAAGCAAAATATGCAAACCTTTAAAGGCATCACAATCGACTTTTTAATTCAGTTTTCAATATTTTCCATTCAGTTTATAGACCACAAAGGAGAGGACTTGGCAGAAAGTCTTTGCAGAGCTGGGCAGTTTTCTCTGTCTGATTTAAGAGCATAAAAGTCCTGAGATTTTCCTAACCACTTTGTGTATTAATGTCAGCACAGTAAGCTCTTTTCTGTTTCATTGGTTATCAGTTTATAATTTTCAGTTTTTAAATGGGAAACGCTGACAGAAGGTTTTTCAGGCTTTGAAATGAATTAAAGCAAAAAATAAAACTCTCAGTTCAATGTTATTATCACTTTGAAAGTGTCTGTGCATGTGTGCGTGTGTTTGGAGAGAGATTCATTATTAATAAAGTGATTATTGGGAATGAGGGTGTTGATACATAGTGGCGTGCAGCATTGCTGTGTTTGCACATGCACACAAACACACACGTTTATCCTGCCAGGCTCTGTGCTGACCAGCAGTCTGTGTTATTGGCCCTTGTTCACACTTAAAATATGGGGTGGTGATTCTACTCAAAGCTCGAGTATTGTTAAAGTTTTTTACACATTCAGTGAGATCCCTTGACTGTTATAATTAATCTGACATGTTGTTTGGCCAAAGTTCATGTGGATGTTGTTCATGTGTGAGTGCTGCCAGCAGATCTTTCTATTCAATGCTTTATAATGTGCCACAATAACATAATGTTTTCGAGTTGAAATATCTTCATTTGGGGGCTTTTCCAAACAAATATTAATATATGTGATTATGTCACCTTAAAGTGTCCATGCGACCCCCTTTCCATCCCATGTATATTTCTTTAGATCCACCCCTGCTAATGAGCAGCAACAACACAGTGTAAATGTTGACTTCGTTTTGTTTCAGCAGGAGAGTCCAGCTGGGGAGAAAGTGTCTCTGAAACATCAGCTCCTGCAGGTCATTGTGCGTGTAGCTCAGTACCGCATGCTCCTCACTGGTGAGTCTCGAGTCTTATCTTTTCTAAATGAAAAATATATTTCACTTATAGTGGTTGCATTCATTTTCTCTCACTACTCTCATAGATTACCTGAACAACCTCTCCCCTGATTCCAAGGAGTATGAAGACACCCAAGGTACCATATATAAAGAGCAGACCCAGTGTGGACAGAGGCTGCTCACTCTGTTACTCACAGGAGAGCCCTACTGGCTTGTGTTTGTGGCTCTGTGTTTACACAAAATTTATTTGTGCTCATTCGGCATGGAGAGATGGCCATGTGAGAGCCAATTTAGATCTTTTTTGTTTGCGGTGGTAACCCACTAGGTAGTCATTTCAGCCCTTTCTGTGGGAAACTGTAATGTGTAATTCATGAGAAGGCCAGTTGCGACAACACTATCTCTTATCTGCGATAAGGGAGCCACCCCAGTCCAGGCTTGTAGACACATCAGGGCTCCTGACTCATTTTGAGCTTTATGTTTGGTGGCTTTTTACATAGAGTCAAAGAACAAAGACACATCTCACCTGTTTTGAATATTCACTGTGATTGTTTGCACGTCTTAACATGAAGTGTCTTTCCTAATTCCCTTTTACTGTGTTTGTCTTATGCAGCCGCTGTGGCAGTTGTGTCTGACATTGCAGATCAAGCAAATGACAGCATAAAACATGGGGTAAGTGCCATGTGTGGGCATATGTAACTCATCTGTAAACAACCATTTGCATCCAGAATTATATATCTTATTTCGACCTAAACTTTGTAACACAAAATAAAACACATATCTACAGTAAAGAATCCCTTCGATTAGTTCTTCCAATAATATCTGTTTGTGTTAAAGAGTCTAATTCTGTAAATGTATACACTAAACCCTTATGACTTTAAGATCTTCCCTGCCCAGTCATCCACCAAAGGTCTAGGTCCTAAACATATTAATTTAACTGCTTCCTGAGTAAATGTAGCATCACTTTTCACAGTCTAGATTTGACTGAATGCATACAGAGGAAGAAATATGAGATGCATGTTCACCCCAACAAATTATAAAAATGATCTCCCATTTCTAATGTTAGGATATAAATATATATTATACTCTTTGCTTAAGGTTGCATCTTTCACACTACTAATGCACAGAGCAGTGGTTCCCAACCTTTCAGGTTTGTGGCTCCTTCAAACAAAGCAGTGTCTGTTTTCAGTCAAACTTCAAATAGAGCAAAAGATCTGAAAAAATAAGCATCACTTTGTGTAGCAAAAAATAGGTTTCTTTCTGCTTTCTTTTCATGTTAATCATCTGATGACCCCTCAAATTTATCTTGAGACCATTTGTGATAGTCTCAACCCCTAGGTTGGAAACCACCATCATGTGGTTCATACATTTACAGTTAGATCAAATTTTATTTATATAGCCCAGAATCACAAATCACAGTTTGCCTCAGGGGGCTTTACAATCTGTACAACATTCAACACCCTCTGTCCTTAGACCCTCGATTCGGGTAAGAAAATCTTCCATAAAAACCTTTTAACAGGGAAAAATTGGAAGAAACTTCAGGAAAAGCCACAGTGGAGGGATTCCACTCCCAGATCGGACAGAAATGCAATAGAAATCGGTGTAAAGAATAAACAACATAATCATATTAAATACAGATTCTGATGACAAAAATACCAATATATGTAGATTGTAAAACATACAGCACACTGTTTATCCTTTTAAAGAATGATATCAGAGATCATAATCAGAGACATAAGTTTATATCACACACGCTCAGTCACTGAAAACTATTGGATCGGTTGCCATGCAATTTTGGACAGTAATGGTCCCCAGAGGATGCATCTTAATGACTCTGGTAATCCCCTGACTTATCCACTAGTGTCAAATTTGTTGTTTTTGATTGAAATGGCCCAATAGCTATTAGATGTATTACCATAAAATTTGGTGCAGTGCATTATATGAGTGTGTTAGCATGCAAACATTTGCAAATTAGCACTACACCAAATTTTATGGTTTGGGTGGTGACTGTACCAGTTTAACATTAGCATGTTAGCATTGCCATTGTGAGCATGTGAGAATGCTTATCCAGCATTTAGCTCAAAGCACTGCTGTACCAAAGAACAGCCTCAAAGAGCCACTAGCCTGACTGCAGACTCTTGTGTTTGGTGGCTATTAGTGCACTAGTTAGAGTAACATGCCAAATGATGACATTTCTGAAGTCTGGCTTTCTAAAGAGAACAATATATGACATACCTGCCTGATCCAGCTGATAACTCTGTCTAAAAACAATGCTCTTTCATCGTTTCTCTTATTTTGGCGTCTCATTTTCTCGTCTTGTCTGTCTGTTCTTATCTTTCTTTGTGTCTCAGGAGAACTTGTTGCGTCTGGTCAACATAGAGTACAGCGTGCGTGGCCAACGGGACCTGCTGCAGCCTGGCAGGGTATGACTCTGATAACAGCATTGTTTCTGTCTGGTGATTGCCAGCCCACCCTGTCTGCCCTGCACCACCCCTGTGTTGCCCTTTACACAATCATTCAGCTGGGAATCCCCAGCCAGCCCGCTTTTAAAAACAACACTAATTACTGCAGATGCCCTCTACTGTATGTGTCATGACTTGTGAAGTGTTCAGTTTTTGTACATATGCTTTCTCTATCAGGTCTTTGTGAAAGAGGGTACCCTGATGAAGGTCAGCAGGAAGAGTCGACAGCCCCGCCATCTGTTTTTGGTAAACACTGCTTCGTGTTAGTAGTGTATAAGTTAGATAGACACATGTGCCAGTGGTCATAATGTGTACATTATTTATAAACATCATGTAACTACATTAAGTTTTTAAGACATCTGTGTGTAAACTGGAGAGTGAGGCATTTTCTGTCTGGTCTGTTTCTAAAAGTCCAGACTGAGCTATTAAGAGCAGGGTTTCCTGCCAGGATGTTTCTGAATGCTGACTTCCTGAGCCAGTTCTTTATGGACAGCACAGGGAAGGTCACCAGCAGCTCCTTATAAACTGAATGATCCATGTACACCTGTGAACTTTTATAACTTTATTTCTATGAGCTAAATATTAGTCGGATCTGTCTTCAGCACCTTTAATATATGGCTACTAGCTGACTATGATAACGCTAAAGGGAACAGGGAGAAGGATGTAGAGGTAGGGGAGGAAGATCTAATTGATAAAGTTGTATGTTTAAACTATCATTTCTCGCTACCAGTCACAGCCAGATCAACACAACATAATTTATTGCATGGATGAGACAGACGACAGACTGTTCTAGATATTCAATTTACAAAAATCATGAAATAGAGATAGCCTTGAAATAATCAAGAGAGTTTAGAAAATTGAACGCCTTCACAAATTGTCTATAGAGCATCATCAGAGCGTGCTGCTTTTCCCTCCTGTGGTGTTTTCAAAATTTGTGGTCTGGGCTCGATACTAAAAAAGCTCATAAATGTCTCTTCTGGAAGAATGTTGGTAATCATCACTGCATAACGTTTTATCCTGGCAGTTTATTTAGCCAGACGTTGATCACATGTTATCAGCTATTATTAATGTTGGACACGGCACAATAAAACAAGTCTGCAGGAGCTGCTGGTCTTATAACAAAACTACTAAAACACACAGGGACAGTGAGTAAAACGATTCACTGGAAAAAATGATACAGAGGTTAATGATCCAGTTTGATATAATCTTTGATATCTATTTACTGAAGTATCCCGCAGACACATTTTAAGACATACACAAATACTCTGCTTGCAATAATATTTTGGTATCAGATATGTTTTTTTATTTAAAAAAAAGGTTGGTTGCCTAGTTTGAAATTCTTAAAATTACATTTACTCCTTCTCTCCCGTTTAAAATCTAGAATTGATGAATATGATCAACTTTTCACTACTACTACTAGTAGACACCAAGTATCTCCAACATCACTGAAAAGTCCATTCTCAGTGAATGAATGCTGAAGGTGTCAAGTTTCTTCATTACACTTGTTCACGTACATGGTTGGACTCCAAACTAGTTGGCCCCTTCAGCAGATGAATGTGAAAGTAACTTTCTAGTGTCAAACTCTACACATACATACATCATTCTGCACAGTGAAGGTCAAACATCAAGTGGAGTAGCATTAAGTACATTTATATATGGAGGATGACTGTTAATTTAAGTTTTGTGTTTGAGGTCTAAGTTAACCAGTCGAGATCTGTGTGACAATGGTTGAGATGGAGGTGGGAGATTGGTTTCTTTTGGGGGATACGCAGTGTGTGTGTGTGTGTCTCAAGTCAAGTTTTGTATTAGCTTAAAGTGCCACCTACTGGAGAACTGCTGCACATACATGACTATTGAAGTCTGGGCAGCTGACTATTTGGACTATGTGTATTGTTATGTGTCCTCTGATGTGCA